GTATTTCCCTCACCTAGGGAAATGTGTCTCATGTTTGATTCTAATTGGAACCCAGTTTATTTCTCTACAAAGCAGTAAAATGAATAGCACCTCCAGTCTCCCAAGTAAAATAAAGTTTGGAAAAAAAAGATTGTATTTGTTAACATTTTTCCAAAAATTCTGCCTGATATATATTACTCGCATCAAGTAACAAAAAACTACCCCAGAAGTTTTGCCATGAATAGAGTATAAGCTCTTTCATGAGTGCTCGTAAGTTCTGATATATTCCCCTCAGGAAAATAAAATAAAATAGTAGAGTAAAATAAATAAATAAAAGAAAAGAATAAAATAAATAAAATAACAAAGAGAGGAAAAAGGGAAAGAAAGACAGGGAGAGTTTCTAAGACCTTGGGAACCCCCTAAAGCCAGTATCCAGAAATCTAGAGAAATTCCTAACACTGAAGTTAAGTTGCTATAGGGACACTTTTAAAGCTCTCAGCGGTTCACCTAGCTGAGGGGAGCCATGCATTTTCACTATGTTTTGGGGTATATGAAGCTGCTCTATCTCAGCCTCCATTAGCAATCTAATATCCTGAATTCAGATCCTTGTTCAGACACCTCTTTGCCCTAGTTTGCTCCCCATCTATGCACTAGAGGAGAGGAATCTTGGCTGCTAAGAGGCCACAGATGTGCTTGGAAACCTCTCTATGCCTGAGCTTCCTGTTTCCTCATCTGTAAAATGGGAATACTAATAAAATATACTTTATCAAATTGTTATAAAAATTAAAAGAGTTAATATATGCCAAGCACTTAAAGCAGTGTCTGGCACAGTGTTCAAGAAGTGTTAGCTGTTACTATTATTGTTTTCATTAATAAAAATATAGTATCTCCATATGATTAGGACCTCAGAGACCAGCAAGTCCAATTTCTTCAGTTCATTTTCCACTCAAGAACACGGCAGCCCAAGTAGCCTACTATACAATGTATGTGCTCTCAAAGTTCAAAGGCTGAATGAAATGCTAGCAGAAAGAACATCATCTTTATAGTCAGGCAGTCCTACATTTAAATTCCAGCTCTTTCACTTGCTAGCTCTGTGACTTTGGGCTCATCTCTTCCCTTCCCTGGACTTTTCTAGGTCCTCACCTATAAAATAGGTATAATACAACCTACCTTAATGGATTGTTGTGAAAACTGAAAAATAATAACTGGAAAAGTTAATGACTGGATAATGTGACTAGCATGCTGCCTAGGAATTAATGAGTATTCAAAAGCTCAGAACTGTAACAGCTGCAAGCATCATTCAGCTGGGCTGCTGCAGAGTGGGTACTAGAATCCTGGACCCTTGAGAGAGAGAGAGAGAGAGAGAGAGAGAGAGAGAGAGAGACAGACAGACAGACAGACAGACAGAGAGACAGAGACAGAGACAGAGACAGAGAGACAGAGAATATATCCCACTGTTAGTCCAGAGCTTTTAGAACTAGTTGAGTTTAGGGTGACCAGTTTTATTCTGCCAGCTGAGCCCCAGCATGCTGTATCTGTTGTGGGAGATGGTGACTCAGAAACAATTTGTAGTTGTTGCAAGATGATGAAAACAATATGTGCAGCAGTAATTTTGTAAATCTGATACTTCTGTTGAGGTAGAAATAGCTAGAGGTAAGGATGGAAATTGAACCGGGCATCTGGTTTCCTCTTTGAAGGAGTATGATGAATAAATTTTAACTCTTGATAACAAGGCATAGCACTCCAGGTCCACCAGAAAACAGATCGATGGGATTCTAGTGTTCATGAAAAGATTTTTAGTTGTCGCACAGTGGGGTTTAGAAATGGGGAATGGGTTCCACAGCTAGCCAAGTTTGAGAAACACTTCCCTCCTGAAGACTTAAAATGCTCATTTATAAATGAAAGACTCTGAGAAGTCCTGTATATAAGAAACCTGTTTAACATGGTCTAACCCATCCTTTTCTGAATGATTGGCACAGAATTTCCATCAATATCATATAGAACAGTGGCTACTAGGGAACACCATTTAGAAATTAGATTTTAAATTTTATCGGGAGTCTCTTCTTCAACCATTTTAGACAAAGGATAAATGACTGACTAAAAATGGACCACGTTTTGCTTTCTTGTATTCCCATTTTATTTGTTGGGGATGGAACTGCAGCACTGGTTGGTACACATTTCAGAGAGCAGAATATGGCCCTTCGTGTTCAGCTATTTATCATTAACCATCAATGGAACTACCTGAGAATGGGAAAAATTAAAAATTAAAAATTAAAATAAATAAAACAAAAGCAAACCAACCTGAGTTCACCTAAGGACTGGCTTTGGAGCAGCCAGTGAATTGCCATTCCATGGGTCATAATTTCTTGAAAATGTTCACGTTGTTACTGGACTGTGAACTCATGACACAATTTGGGGATGGAAACTGTGGGCCCAAATAAAACAATGATGTTCATGTTAAGATATAAATACTTTTAATGATGGAGATAATTACAACTGATTTAAGCCTAGAATTCTCTTAATATGTAAAACGGGACACACAAAAGAAAATGCCACTGAATCTCCTTCTTACCACACTGCAATGTTCATTATCATCTTTCTCTAAAGTTCACAAAAATTTTTCACCTTTTTTCCTTTTTCTCACAATTTCATCCTCTACTTTAACATAAACATCCATCAGATACTTTTTCTTTTGTCCTTTTTAATTCCTTTTCTTCCCCTCTTCCACTGTGGCTCTTTTGGAAAAAAGAAAAGTATGAGACAAGCATATTCGATTATTACAGGCTTCCTATCTAGAATATCTCATTTCAAAACTCTTAAGAATCAAAGCAGAGTGATATCAAAAATTAACTATAGCATTTGGTAGTAATATATCAAAAAGAAAATGAACGAAAACTAGTTTTAAAATTTAAAATTATTAGACTATTATCATCCCTTTAGTCTTGACCTTTTGGTAAGTCATAAATAATTACCATCCAAATTTGACAGAAGTAAACTGCAAAATTCCCACAACAGCAATCTGACAGAAATATCATTTTTACTGATGTCAAAAAAGTGGCATTTCTTAGCTATTTAACAAAATAAGAATTATTAAGAAAAGTAAATGTTGACATGCCACAAGAGTCTCATCCACATGGCAAGATCTGTGAGCTAATTTGCATGGCAGCTGCTTCATTTTGATGGAAATACCTATACAGAGAAAGCTTTTTAATGTAGTTAAATTTAATTTGTTTTGATATGTATTTTTATAGTGAAAATATTTTATATATTACATTATATTATATCAATATTTTACATTGATTATTTATCCAATGCTTTTTTCTATTGTTTCCCTAGGAAGCAAATAACTTGGATAAAAGCACAACAAAAACAGAGAGTGCTTGGCTCTTCAGAATGTGGTACGGCTTTGACCATAAGTATCCTTTGGTAATGATAATCTCCCAGGTCCTGCTGTGTGGCAGATTAACTTTGACAACTTAATCACTGAGACGTGTGCTCCTGCTCTTCAAGAAACACAGAAAGGTAAAGCAAATTCATGACCAAACTTATCAAAACGAATAATTTCAAAAAATAAGAAGTCCATACTTAAAGAGGCTAAAGTGAAATCTCTCAGAATCAAATGAATTTGGTGCTTTCATGGCAACCTAGTATTTCCTAATGCCAGATGATAAAATCATAGAGTCCTGAAAGACCAATTTATTTTATTTATTTTACTGTTCTATCCTTTGTAAAGATCCTACTTTTGGTCCAGCTTACCAGAGTGACCGAACAAAGCTACTTCACCCTTCTTCCAGGAACCCATTTGTGTTTTTTTGTCCTATGCAGCAAAAAATTAAGGAGAGGGCAGGGGGAATAAGTGGGCCAAGGAGAAGAATACTTCTGGTCACCACATTACAAAATAGCACTACTTGGTTTTCCAGGCAGACCTGAGTAAGCTTTTCCTAATAAAGGGCAATTTTAAAATGCTATCAATCAGCATAAACATAGTGGCTCGGGTACACCTTGCCATGTGACTCATAGGGCTAAGAAAGGCCTGAAGGTCTTTGCCATTGTGAGTTAGTGTAAGCCATCATCTTTAATCCCGAGCAAGAGAGCTGTGGAAGAAAAGAAAGGACTGAGCTGAAAATTGAATGAATGTGTTGGGTCTTCGTAGTTACTTTTCCACAGTCCCAAATCCCTCCCCTTTCAGAGAGAAAACGTCAGTCACTGGGTTATTTTAAAGCATCTCGGCAATGATTAAAGCCACTATAGATCAGTGGGAGAGGAAGAAGAATTAAGAACAGAGAAAAGAAATTCAAAGAATAAGATGAAAAAGAGGTAAACATAGAAAGAGGAGAGGAGGCAAGAGAAATACATGAAATTTACAGTAGGAAGGAAAGAAAAGCAAATTAGAGGAATGACTGTGTAGAAAAAAAGTAAGAATGAAGAGAAGCCAATTGAGAATTGCATAGATAAGCAAAAGTAAAACAAGGTAAGAATTAGAAAGCAATTCCACAAAAGTCGGGCATTCTAAGAATTGCAAAATAGAGATGTGGAAAGTAGAGATTTTTTGAGGCTACAGTTTTGTTTTTTCATAGCTCTGTTATCTATGGTCAGATACCTTGCCTTGCTCAATCTTGAGCTTTTATGGACAATGTACATTGCTACCACTTTAAAAAGCAGTCCCTCTTGGCCATTAACTATCTATTGGAGACTCTGGTATCTACACAAAGCCTTCCTGATCTCTCTAGGGGAAAAGAGTTATTAGAAAGTTATGCTGGTTTATGTATCTAGTTGATTCCTCTTCTGAAAACACAATTTCCCCTGCCATTGATTAAAGTTTCTGCTAACCAAAGTTTTACGAAGTTTAAAAAAATTAACTAAAGAGTACACATAAAGGCTGCTTGGTTATGACAAGATGTATTGTAAGAAAATGGTGAATCAAAAATGAGATAAAAGATGTTTTGTTCAAATTCTGACAGTGCTGTGAGGAAGGCTTTACAATGAAGAAAAGGAATAAAGTAACATGAAGACAAGAAAATGAAAGTGGGAATCCACCCAAATTTTAAGCTTAGAGCAGTAGCACTAAATTCAGGTGATGTCATAGTTTTTATATTACTTTTCAGCAGAGGTTTGTTTCCATATGATTATGGACAGACTAGTAACAAATGAAAGCAGATTTACACCCTCAGTGATATCTCTTCTAATGGTAATTTGTCCTCCTGTGCGTTCATTCTAGAAATTGCAATGCTACCATCACTGCACAAAGATATTTTCACTTAAAAAACAAAGTTTGTATATATTAGTTATGCTCCGAATTCATACCTATAGAGTAGCACACCAACCAGTTTCTGCTCTGTGACTTCTTGATATATCTCTTTTTTAGAGACAAATTATCCACGTGGCATTTATGTTCATACCATTGTCCACCTAGAACCCAGGTGATGTGCCCCATGAACCTCATAAGTAAGCTATGCTGGCCCCTGCCAGTGAAAGGATGATCCCCCAACCCTGGGGCCAATTTGCCAAAAAGGAATTGTTGTGAGGCTGAAAGAAATTGATTATGCAGGTTGGGGCTGCTCGACTTTCATTTCAGTAAAATTGCATCATGCAAATGAGGCACCATAAACAATTACTGACAAAAGAAAAAGAAGAATTAATAAGCTTTCATATGGACCTATAACAGTCAGGGTTCACCAGAGAGACAGAGCAACTAAGATGTGTGTCTCAGTACATCAATGATGAATGGATATGTTCATACATACATATATACAAACATATACATATGTACACATAAACACACGCAAACATACAAATATAAAGAGGTTTATATATTGGCTTATGTGATTGTGGAGGCAGGACAGCCTAAAATTTATAGGGCAGGTCAGCAGGCTAGAATCCGTCAGTCAAGAGCTGAGCTGCGGCCTTGAGACAGAACTCCTCTCCCTCAGAGAAACTTCAGTTTTCCTCTTAAGGCCTTCCAATGGATTGGATGAGGCTTGCCCACATGATAGAGCATCATCTTTACTTAAAGTCAACTGATAGTAAATATTAACCACATCTACGAAATACTTTCACAAAAGCACCTAGATTGAAGTTTAATTTAATAATGTGTAGTCTAGCCAAATCGACACATAAACTATCGCAGTATTCAATTCACATTCAATTTATGCCCAATATTTAGATCCAAGAATAGAAAACAATTGTCTTAATTCACCATTGTTATCAACAAAATAAGCCACTGTTGTTCACTCATATAGTTTTGTGGGGTTTTTACTTTTTTGTATTATAATTAATACATATATACATTCCCCTAAAAATTTTCCAAAGAGATATCATGGAAAATATCTCTACAGGAGAATAAAAGTAATAAAAATTAACATCTGATGAGGGCGAACATCTAATGATTCAATGTGAGCAGCAATTCTTAGTCATGCAATGCAAAGAAGAAATTAAGAAGAAAGAGATGAGAAAAGGAACTATGTTTTGCCATCAAGTACATTATTTCGCTTAATTCTCATAACCACACCTTATGTTTTATTTAATTCTTACAAGTACCCTCACTGAGATAGAAGAAACAAAGTTTCTGAGAACTTAAGTTTCTTAAGGTTCTATAGCTAGTGTCAGTTCCATGATTTAAGCTCAGGTCTGTCTCACTCTAAAGTTCATTAATATACTGAAATGAACTTTATCATTGACAACTCTATGTCCATGATATCTCTTACTCTGCTGGTAAACCCTATCTCAATGTGTTCATACAATCACCATTAAATCAATGAATAGTTATAACTGCTTACATTGTGTAGTGCAGAGTTCATATCTCAGCCATTTATTGAAGATATATGGGGCAATGAGTTTGGGGTCCTTGTTGGTCACTCTAAGAACACTGCTGTAAAAGGAGCCTTCAAGTTTTGGAGTCAGGCCCTTCCTTGACTTTTCAGGAGCAGAGAGTTAAATATGGTAGACTCCAAGAATGGTTTAGTTTCATATAGATGGATGCACTCTAGCCAAGCTCAAAGGAGGCACAGGTATAACCTAAACATAAATTCCTAAATCATCATACACATCCCCACGGGGAGGAACATTCTTTCCTAGCCATTAAAAGGCTCAAGTATCAATCTGGTCCCTAGTGTTCCTCTGCCCCCACCCCTTGCTCACTCTGGCTCACTCTGCTCTA